ACCGTTTCTTCTCGGCCTCGGGGTAAAATTCCACCCCTCTCTCTGTCTGCACCATGTGGCCGAAAATCTCGCTCTGTTGGATCGAAACGTTCACGGTTTTCGGATCGACGGGCATCCCGGTCGGGCCAGCGTCGTAGAACACGACCTCGTCGNCGCCACAGATATGAAGTCGCACGCCCTGCTCCTCGCCTGTTCCAAATTCACGTGCCTCCACGTCTCCTCCCTCGCCTCCTCCTTCGCCTCTTCCCTCAGGGTGCGAAGTTTCAACTGCTTCGCCCGTCTCATCTCCTCCTCCTCCTCCTCCTCGGCGGCCTTCTCCTTCTCCTCGAAGATCTTTCTCGCGTGGCTCAACCCACCCTGCCGTTTCCTCTTCCGTATCTTCCTGGCCTCGGCCTCCACCCTCTCCCTCTCCTTCACCGCCTCCTGACTCGGGCCCAATCCGTCGTAAAGATTCTCGAAATCCTTCAGATCCTTGAAATCAACGGAAACGTTCTTCCCTTGCTTCAATCTGAACAGAACTGTGTCGCAATCCCTGGACAGCATCACGTCCTTCACGTCCCCGTCCCTCACCGCGGCCTCCAACCTCGACGGGAACACGAGGCTGCACCTCCTCTCCTCCACCGTGTACACGAACTTGGATTGCTCCTCGTCGTGCGGGGGGTGTTTCGTGTTCAACAGATCTCTCAGAACTCTCTGCTGCTCCCCCTCCCCTTCCAACACCGGGAACACGTAGCGATAATCCTTGAGGACCACGTGCCTCTTCTTCTCGCCTAGAACGTAGCCGGCCGTGTAGTGATGGGGCCCCAACCCGGAGGCGTTCGTTATCCTGCATCTCGACTTGTCGTGGGCGTGAACGCCCAACAGAACTGGAATGTAATGATGAGTGGGCAGACCGTAAGATTTGCCTGTTATACGGCAGAAACGTTTCGCGTCAGCCGGGCTGATAGGCGGCAACAGGGGAAAGTAGTTCGGTTTGGGGAGTCCCCTGCTTCTCCCTGTTATCCTGCAAAACGACATTGTTCGTTCCCACCCCAGTGGAGCTTCTTCGAAAAAATCCTCCTTCAATTTATCCTTTTATATATTTGTATTCTTTGCTTTTTTCCTTTCTCTTTTCTTTTTTCTTTTTGGTCAAGATTCAAGAATATTTGTATACACAGTTCGATGTCGTCGATTTCGCGCGCGTGGACAACCTCGTTTCTGCTAAAAGCTTGGCATCCCATCCACCAAGGATTCCTCCGTTTGATCGTTCAATCGCGGCTTCCTCTTGGCGTTCATCTCGCGATCAATCAACGCGTTCAATGTCGACGAGCGAATCCCCTCTCCACGTTGTCCTCTCCACTCCATAATTCGCTCGCAACGTATCCTCTCGTCAACGGCAATCATGAATGCAACTCGAATTCTCTTTCTCTTCTTTTCAAGTCGAATTCTCTCTCTCTTCTTTTCAAGTCGAAACCAGAAGATAGAAAAATTTCCACGTTGACGTTTTTAAAAGCTCTCCCAGGTTTCCTTGCCAATGAAATAATCACGAGATGTGCTCTGTTTCTGATCAGAACTTCTTAAAATAAAGAGCAAAGTAAAGAGTATTCACGTTACGAGATCTCAGAGCTCGTTCACTCGAACAGTTCAATCTTCTTCCTGATTCATGTCTAACTTGCCACAACGATCAGAAAAGTGAAGGACAATGATTAAACCCGATACATCGTCATCGGATCCTTATTATTTTCACCGTAATTTCTCTTCTCGACGTTTCGTTTTCATCGTGTGCGCTCGTTAAAAAAATGTTTCGTCGAACTCGAACCCACTCTCTCTCTCTCTCTCTCTCTCTCGTGCCGACACGGAGAGGCACGGTTTATTTTTACGTACGGGATGCCTACCAGGATTCCGTGGGAGCTGCTCGTTCGTCGTCTCGTCCCCTGGTAGCCGGCCAATTCGGTGATTTCCTCGTCGTAGAGAAGAATCTCTCTTTTTTCTTTTTCTTCTTTTTCTTTTTTTTTTGTTTTCGCGGGGTAGACGAGTCCACCAAAATGGGACCACCCTTCCCGTAACTCTCAGAGGCAAGGATTCTTGGCTCTATCCGATAGACGATTTCCAGATGAGACAGTTTTTCGAGTGGAGAAAATTTTTGATCATAATTTTTGATAAATTATAATTGTTCTCGACGTGTCTTCGATTGGATCGTTGGATTGTGCAAGTTATTCCGTGATTTCAATAATTTTATATATTAACGAAACAGCGTTAATCGTTGAGTAGCGTCGTTCTTCTTCCGGTTCTTCATCAAAGAAGAAGCCCATTAAACGATTTTAATCCATCTACCTATTTGTCTTGCCCGCTATTTCCACCTCGTCACTTTCACCAACCGATCCTCATTAACCACCATCTATTTTCACGTCGGTGCACTGCACACGTCCCCGATATATCGGTTGTCAGACGACGTAGTCGACGAAGAAACGGTGATCCGACGGGTGCGTACACTTCGAGCAGAGAAACGAGAAGAGGAAGAATCTCGAAGAAACGTGGATAGATTATATTATACCAATTTTTTAAAATTATAATCTTTGCATATCTTTATTTATTTATTTATCATCTTGAGGGATCAAAGGGAGCCATCGATACGTCGAACGGCCAGAGAAGAGTCTCGCCTCCTTCGATATAACAATGTTCGATGCCAATGGATTTTCTCTTCAAATTCGGATTTGTTTCCACGTGCGCCATCCACTCGTTCACCACCACCCACCATCCACACGTCTTCTTCTCGTTCGTTGGGAGATAAATTTTCTTTAACCCGATTCCATCTCACTGGCCGGAGCAGGCTCGCGTGTCATGCCGTGCAGAGTTTCCCCGGTGCTGTCCCTCTACGAAAAGCGTATTGCGATACGCGGCGAACGCCAGACTAGCCGGTGTACGAAGTGGCTAAGAGCCGTTTGCGCGACGAGTCTCTCGGCTCCCCACGACCAGAAATAGCTACCCTTCTTACACTTCTCCAACACATCTTTAGAGCACGCGAGCCGAGATGCGAGGGGTGGGCGCGAGCGCCACGGTTAACGCGACATCCTGAGTTTTCCCGCCTCGACCAGGGAATCCCCTCCGAAGGGAGAATCCCCGTTTCGAGAGCCCTAATTCGAGGCCAAAGTGTTAGAGGCAGGAGAGTAAATCTGATTGAGAGAGTAATTTCAACAACGTTTGAGATATGAGTATCGGGATTGAATTCGAAATTCATGAAAAATACGTCTAAAATCTCTGCTTTCTCGCTGGGAAGGTAAAAAATAAGGGGGGAGAAAGTCGAATGTTGGGACGGGTTCGCAATGGTTTATTTGACAAACAAGCAGGGAAAAGGGCAATGTTGTTGCGGGTTATTTAAAGCGATCCGATTGTTGCCACGAACGCCTACCGCAGGCCCAATTTCTTTCTTTAGGACCGATTGCGTCATTATTTGATATAAATCGCGCCGCATTTCGAGCTGGTACCGCATGAGAAACTATTCTCGCGACCTACTTACTCGGCCACGATATGAAATATCGTTCGGCCGATTCGATCGTCTAAAATTATCGAGACGCGCCGTGAAAATATTGTTTCGTGCGAATTTTAAGAAAGAAAAAAAGAAAGAAAGAAACGAAACGATTATTCGTTCCGCTCGTAACACGTTAGAAATTTGGTATTCCTCGAAACAATGGGGATGTTGCTCGGCGATAAATCGGTTGTACGAGTTTATTTATTTCGACGCGATTCTCGGGCGACACGAGTGATGTATCGAGCGCGATAAATTAGCCGCGTGCAGGTGTCAGAAATGCAATTTGCGAAAGATGAATAAGGCACCTGTTACCATTTTTCAGCGGCGCCCGATTCGAGTTCGACGTGATCGAGTGGTTGGATTGGCTTCCTCTCGAAATTTTCGCCACGCAAACGAGCGTACGCGAGGATTGTTTCGACAGGAAGTGCCAACCGAATCTAAACAACATTTGCTTCTTGGAAAGTATTAAAAATGATAGACTTTGACGCGTGATGTAAGATGACGAATATTTTGGATGAATTTATGACGGTACGATGACGGAGGAAGAGGATATCGTGAACAGAGGACGTATTTTTAAAAAATAAAATAAAATGGAAACGTGAGAGAATGGTAACAATATACGCGCCACAGAGCAGAAATTGCTTCGTTCCGGTTGTTAATTTTCTAACGTTGCCAACCCCATGACAATATTTATGGTGAAAAACGAACAGGATATTCAAAACCACAATGTTGGACAAAATAGCGATGATTCATGCAAAATGGTGTCTGAAACGGATTTATATAGATACTCGTTTAAAAAAAGACTTCGACACTGGAGTGAAAAATCATTTCTATAGTCTCTCTTTGTAAATTAATAATTATTAATTAAAGTATCTCTATATGTAGCTAAAGTTATAATTCTTTTCTAAAGAAAAGAAAAGAAAAGAGAGGAGGAACATCTTTCTAATCTTTCTTCAAAATTTACCATTTTACGTTCTATACTGTAACAGATGCAAAATATCGTTCAGAAATCATTTTGTTCACGAGGATTTACGATAACACTTGAACTTGCAGCCAGACAATAATTGGACGTTCCAAGGTTGATGGTGATTTACGAGAAAAGCCCTCGTGTCGTCGAAATTTTGGCCGATTTCACGACAATAATTCATTCAAAGATGATAAGATATTTTAACTCGAGATACGTTATAAAAAATCAAACAAATTTCACCTATATTTCATAATTTCAGTTAATCGTTAGATAAATTGTTTACGCAAATTAAATAAATTACGAGTTACGCTCGTTTTAGAGCATTGCATTAGCTTCTATGAGAAAGAGTGAAACTCTTGAAAATTGATTTCGAAACGTTTGACAATCGACTCGAGTTTACTGAAATTTCTCTGTTGAAGTAAAGCAACGCTTTCTATTGGCACATTGACGAATTTGTCTTAATCCACGATTTTGATGATCTGCCAAAGTCTTCGCTGGATGAAGCCTAACGTGTCAACGCCACCGCGTGATTCATTGGATTCGCATTCGATAGAGGGAATTGTCTATGACTTCTATCGCGTTCTTATATTATTAAATTGGATTTATATGTCGAGGAATATGATCGTTCATAAATCATGCATAAACGACAAGATCAATTAAATTTGGATTGGCCAAAGAGTTTGATAGAATTATTGAATTATTTAAACGAAATTGCAAATGAAGTCACCTTGAAAACGATTCTATTTCGAAGATTTGATTCCTATAAAGCGATTGCGATATAAAATGCCACTGATAGGTATTTTCTACAAAGCACCGATTTAACGTTTGATTTATGATTAAAGAAAAGCCAATTTTAAATATAACTATGGACCATTACGTTCTTTGGATATATGTCAATTGTCTGCTTCAACGACTGCTCATTCGGTGAACTTCATATTTTAGAACATGCGAAATGAACTGATGAGTGGTGTATTTTCAGAATCAAGCGATATTTGGATAGTTGGATATTTCCTTTATACGATTTATTTTTAAGACGATTTAGAAAGAAAGAAAAAAGAAAATTTTGAAAAGAAATAGATCAATAACCGATTTTCTATCGATGAAACAATTTTCGATGGAGAAGTTTCAGATCTGAATCAATGGGATTTTTTTTTAGGATTTATAATACATTTCATTTTGATAAAAATGAATGAACGAATGAATGAATTCGAAACAATTTCCTTTATCCATAACACATTTAAATGTGTTAGATAAGTTTTGTGCCTCATCAGTTGTTAGAATTCGAGCAAATAACCGACACTTTCTCCACGAGTCAGGCGATGAACGATCACTGGCACGGACCTTCTCTATTTTGATGTACTGCCAAAACTTTTAGAACGCAAACCAGACCAGATTTTGATTTCCTAGATCTATCGTGAAAAAAAAAAAAAAAGAGAGAAACTTAGGATGTTAGGAAAGAAATGAAAGTTGTGCTTTAAAGAACTCCCGCGAATAGATCAATAGAAAATTATCAGAATTCCAAAAATAACACGTATCGAAGAATGACTTAAAAAAATTTTCAAATTTTCTACATTGAAAATTTCCACACCTTTCTGTACCTTTCTGTATATTCTGGTGCAATTCTTAACTCAACACTTGCTACAACTCCTAACGATAAATATCCTCTTCGTTCAACTCATATTATTTTTTTCCATTCGTCATCACGATCGCAATTCGCATCGTGTCATCGAATCGCGTCTTCCTTCGTTAACAATATACACTGTACCAAAGAAATCGTGCATCCTTTACGATACGAAAGAATCCCAAACGTTTTGTAATTAATTAAGGCCTAATTAAGGATGGAAACGAGACGTTTCGGAATCAAGTGGCATGCGCAGCATTAGCCAGGAGCGGCTAATGTTAACAGAACCCCCTCCTTCCAGGAAGTGTGAAACACGGACAGAATGTGTTTCGTATAAATCATGTCGGTCGCAGGAGGCTCGGCGAGAAAAAAAGAATCCGTCCGGCTGAATTAAGGAGGATGAGGAGCCACAGTCGAGGAGAAAAGGGGCCGGTGCAAGG